ACTAAAGGGGGCATTGTAAATTAGCAAAGATTAACTGAAAGCGTAAACTAAATAAGTAATAAGTAATATCTCACCTCGTCATCCTGGAAACCAGAATCATCTTGAACAACCTGATCCTCTGCCGCTTTCATCTTCATTGTAGTACGGGTTAAATGCTGCAGATAAAATGGATTTAGCTGGTTCAATTAGCTCCTGTCAGTTAGCAACGAGGGTCTTTAGCCAAGGTCAGCTAACGTTAGCATAAGGTTTCATATTAAAGATTTAGCATTAACATTAGCTTTATCCTGGTTTTGTAACATCAACAAGTCTGCCAGTAAAACTATTAAAACTAGAACATCTGTTAGTTGAATTAGTTAAACTAGAAAATAAGAAAATTCTTGAGATATTGACTAAAACAATAAAACTTTACCTTTAAGTTAAAAAGTGCTTTGTTCTTGAAGTGCCGTGCGCGCGCCAACTGGCGGGAATTCGTGATTTTTGTCCTCTTCAAGTGCAGTCGGAAATATTAACTTCATCAGTTGGGCGAAGATAAACCATTGATGTATCACAGCATAAACATGACTGAAACAACACTTGTTAATAATTATTGGTTTTAAGTGCCGGCGGTAATGTCGCACTTGGTGACCTTAACGAACATAAACAACTCCCTAAAGTGATTTATAGCAGGTTTGTTCTTCAAACATGCTTTTCACTGCAAGGAGCTAAAGGGAACACATTCATTTGAAAACCCTCCGCACCAGGAGCTAAAGAAGAGCAGTGAATGCAGCATTGGACAATGGCGTTAAACAAATGGTATGTACCGGTATGCATGGATAATCTTTATTTTCTGAACTCATTGTAATATTGTATGAAAATGTATGTTCAGCATTCTGGATGTGGTTTATATTCATTTGTGGTGTCTTGTACTCCACACGACACAACAATTAAATTTAATTTAATTTATTTAATTAAACAATGTAAAACACTAACCCTACCCTAATTATACTACCTTACTAACTGCTCACTTGTTAGTGTGTACGATAATATAATCACATTTTAGTCGTCTTCATAAATCCATAATGCTTTATGGGTAGTTTATAACATTTGAGCACATGCACAGCAAACATTCAGAAAGTAAACACTTTCCATTTGATTTGGTGTTTTAATTACTGCAGTCATGTTGAACACAAAACAGAGACATGGGTTTTCTTTATAAATTGTCATATCGATAACAGAGAAAAGAATATTCTCTTAAAACAGGACATGTCACATAATATTGAGACATTTAGCATTAAAACTTGATGTACCACATTTGTCCAAGAACTTATGACATGTTTCCTGTCTTAGATGAAAAAAATCATTGCGCATTTCGCTGACTGTACCTTCAATGGAAAAGGACAGAACAATCTTTGAATGATTGAACAGCATGGAATCTAGTGCTGCTGCATTATACAATCTACGGTTTAAAACAAGAGAAGTGTAATAAATCCAATAACTGTGACAAGTTTGAAGTGAGAGGCATTGCACCATGACATACATCCATAGTACAATGGTGACCTGTGATTAGAGTCGACAGAAGCCATTCTGTAGACCACATTCCTATCAGTTAACATTGTCTACACAGTATGCTCCACAATGCATCTGACCTGTCTGTCAGATATTTTGTTCACATAATTCTCCACACAGAAGAGGAACCAGCAAACACGTGATGATGAACAACACTGCAAACATACTGCAAGCGTATCAATGTTTTTTCAGACTGCAAACACCAAGAAATACAATTGGTAACCTCCAGATTTATTTTGTTCCAATTTATGCACCTGTACCTTCTATCCCCCTAAAGAACACATTATTAATGTTGATATAATGATTTGTTTTTTTAAAAAAGAAACAGAAAAGAGAAGCAGTGCTCCTGCAAATAAGTCTCTGCATGATGTTGGAGTAAGGAGAGACAGCGAGAGAGAAGTGTTAGAAACGCATCACATCCTCTTCCTCCACTCCCCATTAGCCAATCCAATACGTTGGAGTTAGCCTAATGCCGTTGACATACAGCGATTGCTTATTTTTTTCTTTTAACTGCAGTTCTCTGCCCTTCTCCACGGTCTCTCTGTCTCTCCTTGCGACCGGCTGCACTGTATCTCTTGCAGCAGATCTCAGGTTCACGTTGGCTCTTCCTGTCTCTCACATCTTGCCGGGTGCAGGAGGCATCATTCCGGGCATCCCGCCGGACATTCCAGTATTGGGCCCCAACAGGATCTAGAAGCGAAATAGTCCATCATTCAGGTTGTTCATCAATGCATTTGTCATGTACAACACATTTTTATCTTCATACTGCATTCACTCCTCGCTTTCACACCTGAAATGCCTCCAGAGACTCTTTCAGCTGCTGCTCATCACACATGAACACCCACCTGTCTCTGCTGTTGTAGCTGCTGCTGCTCCAGCTGTAGTCTTTCTGTCTCAAACACAACAGGCAGCACCAGGATCATGAAGGAGGTAGTACCCACCCAGAGCGCCGAGCGGGAAAAACTGAAACGAGTTAACATCCAGATTAGTTCCTGCTGTTTTAAAAGGTGTGGCCAATTTAGAAGTTCTGAGTCTAGCTCAAGTAAAAAGAAGAAGACAGGATTAACATCTACTCCTGGGATAAAACGTACACATTAGCAGTTAATCTCTTTATCTACTGAGACTACCATGGCGCACTGTATAAATTCACACATTGTAAAGGTCTGATGAAAACGCTGAAGGGACCTTACCTGTAAAACCTCTTGGCCAGTGAGACGGAGCATTGTGCAGACACCTCTGCAGCGGTGCGAACTGTGTCAGGAAACATCTCTGTCAGGCCCCACAACCTCTCCATCAACGTCTCATCCAGCTTAAAGACACAAATACAAACATTGGAGTAACATAACATTTGAGCGCAAAAAAAAAGACTGTAACTAAGAAATCAATCAAGAAGTCAGCACCTCGCATGAAAAAAAACATACAAAAGACAACATATACACATTCAGCAGATGATTCATCTCAAGGGTTTATCTTTCCAAACCTCTTTTCATTTATACATTTGGTCCATCCTTAAGTTTGTAACAGCTGGCGTTAACACAGTGTTAACATAGTAGTGGTATCAACTGCTGGGTTAGACGAAATAATACTTAGTTTATACTTGCAACAGACCACAGCTTCAGACTGGGTTTATCAAAGCCAGAACAGACACTTTAGGTAGCTATCGATCTGGCTAATTAGCACTGGTGCAGCCATGCTAGCTAGCCATGTTTAACCAAGAAACGAACAAACTCGGAACAAGGAAGTGCTACTCTGTTTTACATTTATGTTTTCATTCACATTTCCGAAGCACCCCAGAATGAGTAGCCACTTACATCTTCATCTTCATCGTCGTCAATCTCGTCCTCGGGGGGCCGGGTAGACACCGGGCCCACAGCTGGGGAAAGCTCCTCGATTGCGGCCATGTCTCCTGCTGATCCCGCTCGTCTGCGTCCGGTTGGATCCGCTGTGTGCGCGTCGCTAGGAAACAACCGTAAAGCCGACACTCAGTTTTCTGCTTTTCTGACTATCTCCCACCGGCTTTCATTAAAGCTAAAGCTAGGAGGCTCAGTCTGAGGTCACAGTGGGAAAACGTGAAGCTCGTCAGGGACGGATGACGGCAACAGGGCAGGGGTCAGTTGGTACTTCGCCAGAAATAAAGTGCGCCCCCTGCCGCCCCGGCTGGCTAACAGCAGTATGTGGTGTCAGAAATACCAATGTAATGTATTTACCTTGACCTAGGGTGAAGTTCAACCTAGTATTCATTCAAATATATTTGTTTGTTTGGGCATTTGTCTTACTTTTTTTATATATTACTTAATTCTTTATTGCACATTTTTATATAAATATGTAAACGTATACATACATCCTTACCTGTATATACATGTACATACATATAACCCATACTTGTATTTGAATACAAACTAAAACAATTAACCACAAAAGAATACGACAAAATATATAAAGCAGAACCCAACACAAAAAACAAACAAACTAACACAAAGAAAAACAACATATATATATATACATATAACATATATTGTTATATATAAAAAATACAAGTTCAAAGGCAGCCTGCCAGCCACCTAGGACCAACCAATAAACCTCACTCAAAATGTATTAAGTAGTCCAAAGTGGAACCTAATGTCAATATCTAATGTTCAACATAAATTAGTAACTGCAGATAAATTAATGAAATCTTTTTGGCAATGTATAGATATTCTTCTATTCTTCTATATAGTCATATTCTGAAGTAGGTTATTTTTGATACATGCGTTTTTCCTGTGGATTTCCGTTCATTTTTTATTTATTTATTGGCAGCTACGTAAGGTTCCAGGAAACTTCAATACCCAGCTGAATATAACTTATAATTAAATAATTCCAAAAAGCCACCCGCCCTTATGATCTCCTGTTAGTTAGAAAAACAAACGCATGATGGACAACCTCTACATGTGTGGTGCAGTAGTGAAATAGACTCTGCCATTAATGTACCTTATCATACAACACTTACAGTGTAAGCTTTGCCTATGTTAGAGTTTTAGATTCAGTATTTGGTTTTATTGTTGGATCTGCAGATTTTCTAACGTCACCATCATATGGTTCCTCAGACTAAATGTGGTAATAGTGTCAGTAAAATGTGACTCTAAAGCTTTTTCCAGATAAGTTGTTGTTGTTTCTGGGAATACCGAAGGGGGGCTGGTCATGGAAAAGTTCTGGGATGCAGGGATTCCTTGTTTACATCCTCCCGGAGTACGCCGCGGGGGCGGGGTTAGCTCCGCCCTCATTCTTTAGGCCTGACGTCATTGTCGCTTGTGTTTTTTATGAATGAAGGAATCCAACCTCAGAGAGCAGCGGAGTAATTCCGGGAAAAGGCGGACTGACATTTTGTCGCCAGAGTCGCTTCGATCCAGCAGGTAAATTATCCCTTTTTAACTAAATATTAAACGTTAAAATGTTTATCTGAAATCCGTAGAGAACAGTCGAACACTAGCGGACTTGTATCCGCCGGGAACTGGTCAACCAACCAAGGACAAGGCAGCTGTTTGCTTTAATCTCCTTTAGCTCGTCAGAAACCGTTCATGCTAGCTGCTAACAGTTAACACTACTAGCATGTTTAAGATGATGCGGATAATTTGGCCCCGCTCTTCATATTTATGCCTCTAGACTCTTAACATTTGACGGCCAGGAAGGTTCTCACTTCCTTATTTAACGGTATGGCTTATAATAATTTAAATGTATTTAAAGTCTTACTAAAATGGATGTCGAGGGCACTCGTGATGGCTGTTTACTAACGTTGTAGCAGCAGCAGCGCCTTCACCCCGAAGCTGGCCAGCTCCTCTCCCTATAAGGATAAGGGTGGATTCTGGATGTAGCCAGAGGAATAAATCCTGTTTCCAGGAGTGGTCTGTATTAGCTGTTTGTTATTTAGTCATTTAATATTAAACAAAATAGAAATTAGGGCGTTTAACGTTATGAACTATGCTTGTAGCTGTCGTTTGGCAGTGCTGCGTTCACTTGTTGCGTTCCGCGCAGGTAGCGTTACTTAAGGAGTACTATGTCCTCTAAAGTGATATTTATAGTAAAGAACAAACGTGGATATCCTGTGCTGTTTGGACAAATACAGAAAGACGTGGTCACAGCTGTTTTTCTTGGGTTTGGACTGACTGGCAGTCCTGGCAGAGCTGAGCAAACCGTTTATTGCTGAATCACCCTGACTTTACGAAACGACGGCGGTCTCCTCGGTTTACAGCCGGAGTCTGTCGGCTGTCCGACAACCACTGTTGCTGTAACATCCACTTCCCACGCATTTCGGGAAATGTATTCAATTGTCGGCAAACTACTGACCTTTTGAACAGGTGTTTTATTTAGCTTGTATTGGTAAACACCTCCTGTGCGTGTGTCGAAGGCCTACATGTGCCGTTAAAGCCCATTATGTGCTGTTATGAAGTCAAGTTTGTATATACATTTGGATTTCGTTTTTGTAGATGGACTCAAGAAATGGAACCGAGGAAATGTGACTTTGTAACTTAAATGGCTCCTTTTGTTTGTATGGTTCCTCCTCCTGCCCGGCTGCATGGTTGCCTTATTGGGAGTCTGCTTTATGAAATGTTGCTGCAGAGAAGCACTAATGAAGTCTTCTGTTTACATGCACTGGTTATGTTGGCTACTCTGTCTACACCTTCTTATAGTTTCGACAGATTTGAGTCCTGGTGTTCAATTAACAAGCAAACCGAGGTAAACATAAAAACGCTGAGTTGTCAAACTGAAATGAAAACACCCCGTTTACAGCAGTGTAATGCCCTTTTATAAACGGGGGTCATAAATGTAATGGAAGTCAGTATATCACAATTCAAAAGCAAGCAGATAACCAATTTACCGTAACTTGAAAATAATCTTAAATAATTCACAATCAACCTGTTAAAGATTTCTAAAACTCAAGAGGTTATCACAACGGAGGATCTGCCACACACTACTAAAACAGAGAGCATGACTTGTTGTTGATATATTTACAAGAGGAAAGGGACGAGAAAAGGTGTCACAGATCGTAAACGCAACCAGGTATCCAGCGAAGATCTTGCATACAGCATTATCTTCTCTAAATCAGCCGGTTTCTCAAATAAAAGTGAAAGTGCAATGAGTTAGCTCATCAGTGAAGCTGCCTGAAGGTCAACCCTAACCCCCCTGTATTTTGTCATCATTTGTCAACCTTGCTTGTTAACATTTTTGCATTTACACTTCTGGGCTGTAATGAAACTATTCAATCTAAAAAAGAAAATCCAATGTTGCAATAAATCTGAAAGTGAACGCATCCACTCTACAAAAAGCAATGTGGGAAAACACCCTGTGGTTTCATGATGTCAAAGTAAAACTAGTCGGTCTAAAATGTTAATGTCTAGAGAGATTTCTGCTATACAGTCAACACGGCGTGGCTTTTTCATCAGTGTGCAACGTGGCCGTTTTTATCCTGTGTGCGCTGGTCAGGATGGGGGCGAATTAATACAGCTAAAATGGCCTCAAGCTGAAGTGCAGAGTCATTTTATCAACATGACAGTGATCTGATGTGCACAGCCAAATCAACCAAGAAGTGACTAGGGGGGAAAAAGCTGTTCAAGTTAGCCCACTGCGAGGTTGGACTTTAATCCCACACACTTGCGACCTGACCTTAAGAGGAGTGTAGGAAGTCCCCACACGGTCTGTGTGAACTGTTCAGAATGAAGAATGGGAGAAAATGTCCAAATACAGTAGTGTTAAGGCGTTACAGACTTAAGCAAACACACTTACTGCTGTTATTACAGCTTGTTACTGGAGGCAGCAATTTAAGGGTGCGCAAAGATAGGCAATCATGGTGTTTTAGTCTCCTGTTTTCAATAAAACATCAGAAAAGAGCAATGTTTGTGAATGATTTAAAGAATTTAAAAATGATTTTAGCTGTTTTATATGAAGAGGTTGTTGTGATGTTCCTTTTCACTTAGATATCACGTGAAACAGTGAGAAATATGTACCATAAAATGAGTTTCCTGTCCTTTTTCAGCCTTTTTCACAATGAAGGTTTTGAACCGTTGGTGTTGTGTTGACAAGAGGAAGTGTTGAGGGAATTGGTTAGGACACCTGCTTTGAGCAACCAAAGGGCAGACACACGACAACTTCCTCCTAACTATTCCAGCAAACCGAGAAAGGCATGGCGCTTTCAAAACCTCCTCTTCCTTTCATATCAAGCCGCACAGTTTTAATGAGAGAGAGCGCATTTGGAGAAGCATGAAAGATCTGTGGGTTCTCCTTTTCTTTATCGTGCATGACTGGCTGTCTTGTGAGCGGATGGTAAATGTCAAGCCAGACTTGGACCAAAACAGCATGATGTTCTGAGTCACATGTGATAACTTACCTTTTTTGTGTGTGTGTGTGTGTGTGTGTCCCCTGTTTTTTGTTCTTCCAGAGTGTTTGTATCCGTGTTGACTGTTGTTTGGGGGGAAAAAACTGAAGACAGTCGGATCATGACGACAGAAAGAAGCAGCAAAGCCCTGAAGGTAACACCCGGCCGGAAAGGAAATGTTTTATTGTCTCTATTTTTATAAGAGGGAAAATGTCAGGGTTAAAAGAAGTTTTACTTTCCTCCCTATCAGTTAATTTTTAACATCATTGGTGGTTGTTTTTTCTTCTTTTCCTTCTACATGTTTCCTCCTTTCCTATGTCCCCTTTTCTTCCTCTTCTTCCTCTTCAGGTGAAGCAGGAATGTGGTGAGAACGTGCCCATCCTTTCGGACAGCGAGCTCATGTCCCTGTCAGTACGAGAGCTGAACCTCCATCTGCGTGGCCTGTCCCGCGAGGAGATCCAAAAGCTGAAGCAGCGCCGTCGCACCCTGAAGAACCGGGGCTACGCCGCCAGCTGCCGGGTCAAACGGGTGTCTCAACGCGAAGCCCTCGAGCAGCAGAAAATGGAGCTCCAGAGAGAGGTGGAGAGGCTGGGGGCCGAGAACGCAGGCATGAGGAAAGAGCTGGAGGGCCTCGGCGCACGTCTCGCCGCACTCCAGAGGTTCGCCAGGGGCTTGGAGGCTGGAGGGGGCCACTTGCTGGCTACAGCCCCACGCCTCAACACCGCCTCGGTCATCACCATAGTGAAGAGTCCGCCACAGCCTCAGGCACAGAGAGAACAGGAGCCGTCCTAGAAGGAGCTGCTGGAACCAAACGGGGGGGAGGAAGGGACGCACAACCTGCAATGCAAACACACACACCTGCAGGCATACATATTCTATACAAACACATGTCGAGAACAGGAAGACAATATTAGGAGGAAAGTACTAAAGCGCTTGTTTGCATTACGCCTTGTTCACATTTCCAAATTCTGTTGGATTATATATGCAGGAGTCACCGATTCCTGGGTGATACAGTGTTGACAGGGTGGCATGTAACGTCACCGTACGGACAACAGCTACACTTTTCCAAAGCAGCGGCCAGGAACAGTTGAAAAATCATCTAGGACGGGTGGAGGTGTCCTCTACTTAATGCTATTTCATGACACTGCAGTTTTAGTTTACTGAAATCTAGTATTTAGTGTATTTGTTTAGAAGCTCTCAAAGTTTAGAATTTTGTTCAGAAAGAGTCAGCGGGTTTATTATGAATGAGGCGTCATCGCGCACACACACATGCACAAAAACCCTCACACTCACACCCCCCTCCCGATCCATGTGGGGCGTAGACTTTGACTAACTGGACTCTGACTGAAGCCAGACCATCCTAGAGTTACTGTACATGTTCACGCTGCTCCTCCTCTGACTGTGCTGCAGAAAGGCTTCTCTCTGCTTCAGTTTTCGTGGCACCTGACTAACAGCAAAAACGGCAGGGTGGAGCAGACCTTGTGTGTGTGTGTGTGTGTGTGTGTGTGTGTGTGTATAGCTTCCTACAGCTCTACAATGGCTGCATTCCTGGTACAGTTGTAGTCTGAAGTTACTCGCTGTTTCTTATACCAGCCCATGCGTCTCTGCTACTGTGCAAGAAAGTGTCCCAAAGTAGAGTCCCAAAGAGTCACCTTTGTTAGTCATTAATGAAGAGTTTCTCAACCTTGGTGTCGCCTGATACGCAGGCAGGGTCACGAAAGTTTTCTAAGGCTGATTGTGGCTTTTTTGGGGGTCTTTTTGTTTAATCGTTTCAAAGGATAATTTCTATATGATCAATTTGAAATGTCCAGTAACAGCATGTCGTACTCACTTGACAGCTCTCTAACTGCTTGAGGATTTTAGGAACACAAATGGTCACACAGTCCAGAAAAAAGCTTGAGCAACGCTGCATTTGTGAATCATAAGTTCCTTCAATCTGTCCATTCACGTCTTTGATTCTTAGAGATTTTGTATTCACCTGCCACTGCTCCCTCCCTACCTGTTCTACCCATCCATGTGAGGGTAAAAAAGTAGTTTTGTACTGCTTGTGTACACATTTCTCACATGGATGCAGTGCCTTCAGTGTATGTTGGAGTTCCAAGAATGCAAACCCAAGAGGGAAAAGGTTCAAAACAGACTGTAATCGCTCCTTCTCGACTGTTCATGACCGCACATTTCTTTGTTCAGGATTTCTCTGGATTCTTTTTTTATTTTTTTTTATTCTGAGCTATAATCCATCATTGCTCATTTCACGATCCCTACTGTGCAGTAACTTTTGCTACAGTCTGCTGTGGCTTCCTCTTTTTTCATATCTGGTAGACTCCCAACTGCAGATGTTGGTCATTTTGCTAAAAACGTGTAAAAGCAGAGTCGCATCTGGTAGGAATTACACTCAAAGTCAATGCAAGTCCTCTGCATACATTCCCGTTCTGTGTTCTTATTTGTATTTGTTTGTATGTGCCGTTGAGAGACGAAAATGTTGAGTGACATTTATCAGAGATATATTCTATATTTTATTTGTATTTAAAGGTAGATATTATGAAAAGACAAGCTAACGAGTGCTGTGATGTTCTATATGTTTTCAGAAGTACTTACCTATGACTAGTCTGGGGATATTCTCACGTCTAATTATTGTGTTGTGTGGCAACAATGATTACTTTACAAAATGTTAATTATTAGCTATGTAGAATTATGCTCAAAGCCAATGGCCATATTGCTGTATGATGATTCTTGTGTGTGTGTGTGTGTTTTTTGCCATGTTTGTACTGGCTTGTCATAGTGGATTCTCGGAGGGATATTATTTTTCTATGATGATTTGTATGTTATTTGTGTGAAAACAAATTGAGGTCGCTTCTGAATTGGCTGGTTGGGCAGATCCACGGGATGTTAAAGGAAAACGGAATATGTGGAAAGAAAGATGGAGATGAGGAGGAGACAAGAAGGTTGAGGAGTTGTTGATGGATGGATGGATGGATGGATGGAGAAAGAAAGTAAGGCAAGGCAGACTGGGAAAGAAGGTGGGAAGAGGTGGTGCTTTATTCACTTGAAAACTTCCATCAGTCTCAAGCCTGTTTCAGTCAAGACGTGCTCAGACAGGCTTGGAGTTCGTGGAGTCTAGGCCACTGAATAGTGCTAGCAATATCATTTATAAGCAGGCATTGTAACCCATTAGACCGTGTTGACAAATAACTCCTAAAGATATGAGGCATATATTTAGCTATATGAATATCAGTGTGGCAAAGCATTTATTCTCAATATTTTAACGTCTCACACCTGTCAAACTGTGCTGGATGTTTTGTTATACTTGCAAAACAAAAATGGTTTTTGTATTTATTACTTGTATTTTTTCTATTGTGAAAATTTAAGTACATTGTCTATTTTATATATTAATTATAATAAATGTTGTACATATTGTACATAAAATGGTGTGTGTGTGGTTGTGGGCTGGATTGGAACAGTAGATTCACACGTGGCATGGAAAGGAAGCGGATCTACAGGATGTGTTGCACAAGTTATATCTCTGGATCAGAAGATAAAGTCGAGGTAGTAGGAAGTATTACGTTTTTGACCAAGGATGAAATGTTGTGAGAATATAAGTAATTTTACTTGCGTGTATTTTTTTTTATGTGAGAAGCATTATTCCTCATATTGTGACCAATTCACAAAGTCATGTTCTGATACACCTTAGAGACAAAATAATGCTGACTCACACAGACGCACACTGCTGATGTTAACTTCATCTCTGCTGGATCTGTCAGGGCTATTTTAGCTGTGACCTAGTTGTTGTCACAGTGCATGGATGACATGTATGTCTAACACTGTATGTTTAATGCAATGCTTCATTTTGACAGCAGCAGAGGATTAACATACCAACAATGAGATTATATCTTATAGCACAAAAAAGTACTGTTCTTCACTGTGGCAGTATTTTCATTAAACATGTAAACATCTTTAAATACAGCCTTTTACACTTATATATTTAATGAGATTGCTGTATTTACACAAAGGTAATCTATTCAAAATTGAGTATTGGTGGTTCGATTTTAGACCTTAGACATCCTTATTGTGGCAGGTTATGGTACGATGAATGGTATGACAATGAATATACATCAATTACATATACTACAATTATTCATTCACTTCATGTTTGGCCTTCACTATGTCCTAAAAGTCTGTTTTTACATTCCTCTGGTGGAATTTTCTCTTTAAATCTCAGTTGAAGAGGAGTCAGTACCAGTAGGATTTAGGTTCAAAACTAGTTTTTAAGTCAATCATAGTTCATGTAACTTACACAATGGGACGTGGAAACATGAAACCTCTCAGGGAAGTATGAGACATCTTGTGTGGGAGGAGTAGATGCAGTTATCAGCATTTTTAACCAGTTAATTGCACTTTTTTTATTTATTTTTTTTTCACAATTTTATGTAATAATATCAGAAAGGTTATGTGTAGCACTATGTTGTTAAAATTCGTCTTTAAACTGTTTACCTACTGTGACTTTTTAAAATATATATCACAACCCCTCCACCAAATCAAAACCAAAACAAGCAGTTAACTTACATATCAGACTAAATATCTTTTATTTCTTCAGATCCATTTGACATGAAATAGAAGCATCATGAGCAGCTTTAAAATACAACAGAAAATCCAAAAAACAGTAATTGAAATAAAAAGACAGTTGTGAAGTAAAAATACAAAACTAGGTCTTTTTTTCTCCTGTGCTCAACCTTTACAGCATACATGAATATTTCAACATACATCACTACTACCCCTCCTGTAGACAGCACTTAAACCTGTATTTACAACATTAGTCCACAGAATTTCCTCAGTTATATTCATAATCTGATGAGAACATGTCATGTCTCACCAAATAACAAAGGACAAAGAGAAACAGAATGACTTGTGTCTTTAGCTTGAAAGTTAATTATGGCATTCAAAGTGCAGTATAACCGACTCTTTTATTATATCAGGCATGGGAATGTGCCTTTAGAAGCTGTAATTCCACAAAACAATTGCATCAGTTTGAGTGTCATCACGCTGATAAGACAATTCAGATGAATTGTTTTAAAGAAGCACAAAAGACTTTTTCAACCTAAAAATATCTGCACTGTCATTCAAACGCCTATGTTGTCCATTCACGGTTGGTTCAACATGAAAATGCATTTATACAGACAAGAAATGGTTTGCACAACGCAATGAACTGACCAGTGCTTTTATAAAAGATTGCAGGGTCATTTGTAGCTGGACGAAGCTCAGTCATGGTCAAAATAATCCAGTTTGTATCTGTGTTAAAAAAGTAGCAACTCAATTACCCAGACAACACCCAGTAATGTCTAAAAATAGGTCCCTGCTCCTGTGCACAGACGTGGCTGCTCTCCTGTTTAAAACCAATATTATGTCAGGCAGGAGCAGAACTAAAAAAAAAAAAAAAACACCCATGACCACTGTCTGATGCTGGGGTTTGCCTCTACTTCCCAAAGAACAAACGGACAAAACTGTGAAGGACTGGTGCTTAGACAAAGCATTTTTTCAGTTAAATGTGCACCAGGCTTAAAGTGTGTGATAACTGCCCAGTCTGCTTGTAGATAAGAGTGTGAACGTGTTCAAGTGTTCTCCACACGGCCCCCTGGTGTCCGTGCAGAGCTACAGCAGAGCAGTGAAAGTAGTTACAGTAAACACGTCGGCAGACACGGTATGACTCATTCAGATGACTCAAGAACTTCAATTATGTGAAAAAAATAAACCAGCTCTGACTGCGGTTAAATTCAATCCAACACACACACACAGAAAAAAAAGTCTGCCTGGAAGAACAGAAGAGCATCCAAGTCAAAGAAACAATGTGAAGTTAATGTATTACATTTTATTTCTAACAGAGAATATTGACTGTAACATATTGTAATGAGTTAACATGGTGTACAGAATATGTGTACTCATATTCTGGTGCTAATATTCAGCTTGTGATTCTTTTTTTTAAGCTTTCAAATATACCATAGCTCAGGATAAGAACTGTATAATGTGCAAAATAATGTAGTTTAGCTGAAGACTTAAGACCTTCAAAGCAAAAACTTTACAATACTGAAACCTGACAAAGGCCTCACTATGGTGGGCGTTTCAGGACAAATGCAGAAAACTCACTCGATTTGGACGGATTTGACTTATTCTTAAGTACTTGGAGCTGATAGTGAGACTGTGAGATGGATGGAGTTTTGAAAAGCATTACTTTGAAATTAAACTACTCAAACAAATGAAATGGCAATTAAAAATCAGTTTTGCTAAGACATCAGGACATACATATATCCTTTAAGGTTTATTTTTTTATATAAATGTATACTTGGTCCAAACTAAAAAAAAAGGTTTAATCTATTTTTCTGCTGTGATTGTGTCCCAGACTGTTTTGTAATCTGTTGGCGTGGACACTAAATATGGTTCATACTATCACTTCAGTTTCAACGAGGACACAGGCAGTTAACCAGCATAGGACATACTCATTTAACAGCACAATGGGTCCTCCCAAATGTTTAGTGTCAAAGCTGTGCGGAGCTATGATGTGCTCCAGTAGTAGTGCACTACAGAAGTTGACAGGATGTCTCCTAGCAACAGTGTCTTTCAGATGTCAGTCCACTGCAGCAAACATTAAATATCAGTGGGACTTGAACTGTCTCAACTTTTGGACTGATGTATGTATAACAAGGAGGGTGAAAGCTTTAATTCGTATGATAGAGGTCCTCTATTGAGAACAGGCATCTAAAGTTAGCTTTAACCTATATTCCTCTTCTGTTTTCCCCTCAATCTAGTTAACCTACATTGTGGTCTGCAGAGGTCTACTGCCAGAGCGAACCAGTTCGAGATTTAATCCCATCCATTCAAATAACGCCCCAATTACACCAGTATAATCCTGAACAGCTCTGCTCCTCCTGCCCTTCACTCCTGCTGCGTTACAGCAGCAGATGTACTGAATAATCTATAATCTGCTCTGCCTCGCTCTCATCTGTTCCACTAATATCAATACCAACATTGATCTATATAGCAGACATTAACTCATGTTGTTGACTTGGCTTCCCTTTAAATCCATCCCCACACTGCAGTGAAGAAGGATGTCCCTTAAAATCCCACAATACACCAGGGTACCGTTCACTTACAGAATATATTTTCCATAACATTGTACCACATTGTGATGACCGTACCACAAGACTGCTACGATACTGAAAATAGCTTCTTTTTGAAGCACATTAGCGTTTTTTGCAGACCAACTAATTTGTTTAAATGTTGCAAATCTATCATTTAATATATATATATATATATATTTAAATATTAGTTTCAAGTTCACAAAATTAAAAGTTCTAAACTTTTATAAAACTCAAAGGATATTTTCCATTTTAAGTCATGGAAAAAAAAAAGATTCAAATACAATTTAAATGGGGAAACCTTGATAAACACAGCCAATGAGAAAACAACAGGGCCTACAAGATGCAAACCAATCCAGAACCAGAACATTCATTAAACCGATTACACAGAGAAACATATTTGAGCGAAGGGAACACGACTGAGCTGAAATCTGAAATTAAGCTTCTAACCAAGCTGGAAAACTTTCGTTCCAAAAGTCAAGTATGATTCAGTAAGTGTCTCACAGTGACTCACAAACTTTCCGAAAACAAACGCAACCCTTTTTATTCCCTAGCCGACGGTTTTAACACCAAATCAGCTTAAAATGTTCCCATCAAATAAGACGCCTAGGAAATGTGGGAGCAGAAATGTTTCTGCAGGAAGGTCCTCGCACTCAGTCTCAAAAACAGAAAAAACCAACGCACACCTTTCATTCACACAAAGCTGCACAGGAGGATGAAGAACCACCCGACCCTAAAACAGTCTGAATCCGATTCAGCTGCAATCGGGACATTTTCTGCTCTAGAATTCGTCATCGGAGCTGAGCAGGAGAGTCTTCTCTGTGTCACCGCGGCCACTGACGGTGCTATGGGTGCGGGAGACAGGCGGCGGGGCCCCCTGCTCCAGCGTGGACTGCTGGGTGTACTGCTGGTAGGCCGGAGAGAAGTTGTGGATGGCATCCTGGACCATGTCCCCCGGGTTCATGGTCTCCTTCAGGCTGCTGGAGATACTCTTCATGGGGGCACAGCGGCCTGTGGGAGGTGGGCGAGACGAGAGAGTTTAAGGTCAGGAGGAGAAGTCAAAGAGAGGGTAAACTGTTTTTAAAGGAAGTGGAAAAGGTCAGAAAAGCACTGTGGGTTGAGGAAATAAAGGGTTTAGAAAAGTGTAGGAGGCACTGAGAGGAGAAAAATGTAAAAAGAGGAAAGAAAGGGGTAAAAAAAAGAAAGGGGGGGCATTAAAGGAGGATGGATTTATGGTGATAAAGGCAGGAATGTGGTGGCAAATCAAACGGAGAGGGGAGGAAATGAGGAGGAGGAAGGAAGGGAATGTGAAAGAAAGAAAAGGGGGGGAAGAGAAGGATGAGAAGAGAGAGTTGGAGGAGAGTGGGACGAGGAGTAATTTAGTAGAAGGAGAAAGGAGTCTGAGAAGAAAGGAACGGGACATCAGTGATTTAGAGAGTGTTCAACAGCGAGAAGGAGAGGAGGGAATGGGTGAAAGAAATTAGGAAAAAAGGAGGAATTGTATAGGGATGGTGGATGTGATTTAGAGAGAAGGAATGGAAAGGGGATAAGGGTTCAAAAGTAAAAGAAAATAAGGATGGGAATGATTTAGGTACAGGAGCAAGAAGAAAGACTAACTGAAAAGACAACAGTTACAGGTAAACCGAACCAAATCACATTCAAAACCTTGAATAAAAAAAAATTAAAAAAGAACAAAACCGAAACTAACTTCACCTCGAAAGGACATAACTAGCTATAAACAGCAGCAGCATGAGCAAAAAGGGGGGGAGTAAATATCATCAGTGTTTAACCTACCAAACTCTCCATATGTAGGAACAGGTCCTTTATGACGCAGCAGAAAAGAAAAGAGACGAATAAAGATGGATGTGTAGAAATAGGAAAGGAGAAAATGACCCAAATAAAAACACGAGTGATGGGCAGAAGAGCGTAAAAAAGTTAAAAGTGAAAAATAATGTAAAAGAAAAGAATAAAGGGGGTAGAGATGGATATAAAATGAAAAAAATAATAATGTAAAAGTCTATTTTAGAATATTTTACATTAATTAAGACATAAAATGTGTACACTACAGTTAACTCTGGCGTGGTGTTAGACATTATACTGTGATTCCAAACATTCCTTGGAAATCTTCCCTCTTCCCTTTCTCACCTTGTGAGTCGAGACTCTTGTCCATGTAGACTTTGTATGTGAATGCATGGCGCAGAGCCAGCGCAGCAAAAAACATCTCGATGCAAATGATAAAGTTCTGGTAACCAGCGGCGACCGTCCCCTCGCCGACAGACACCTCCACCGAGTTAATTTGAGGGATGGCCCCGCACTTCTCCAGGATGGCGAGCAACATGCCTGACCACAAATAATAAAATGGTACTTATTGAGGATACAAACAATCTTTACATACATATATTAATAATAAAAAAAAGAATGTGCAGTTTCCCTACCCTGCCAGAAGGAGAGGAAGATGACCGACTTGACCATCAAGAACTTGAGCATGGGGCTGTAAGGGCTGAGCAGCTCCTTGGTGGAGAAGTAAAAGAGGAAGAGGGCGTACAGAGACAAGCTAACAGAGATGTTGTAGATGATGGTCACGTACAGGTAACCGCTGGCAACACTGTTGAGAGAGGAAAAAGTCAGAGAGAGTGATGTTAGTGGCGTTGATTCATAGTTTGGTTTTGCTTAAATTACTATTGTTGTAGGCCAGTGGTCGGGTCGGGACCCCCAAGGGGGTCATGACATGATTTCCAGGGGTCGCCAAATGGTTGTGGAAAATAAAATAAAATAACATGTTGTGGCAAGCAACACATATAGACAGGAAGCAGCTCTATATATTGTTTATATAGTGTATACAATTTGTATACGTTAACATGTTAACCTCAGTAATATGAGGCTGTATCTAATCGTGCTTTTAGGCCTAAGCAGACACGTTGACTGTGAAGGTGCCATTATTTCAATAAATCTAAAAACATGAATATGTTGTTGTTCTGTCTGGTTATTCTGGGGGGTCGCAACTCTAAAAAAGGTTGAAAACCACTGCTGTAGGCCTTGCTAAAAGCCTAAATCTCCCATTAGAGATTAATGAAATGATTGAGGGAGGAGGCGAGGATAAGTCTGGGTCATTCAATTAGTCTAAAAATTAAAAGGTGTAATCCGTTTTTTCCTGTTTTCTTCTAAATTTGGTGGCATTGTTGACAGTTTTTTTTTTTTTTTTTAACTGAATTTAATGTTATAGTAAAGCAGCTGTTTACGTAACTACTCCTATGTTTTCATTACCAGCTCCACCAATCCAAAGCAATATATTAACCCAACGTCATTCCAGACCTAGCTGACAGACCTCCTAGCTCCCTCCATGTTAGCAGCACTTACTTGAAGTCTCCGTCCTTGTATTTGCCGTAAGCCTGCAGGATGACGGTGATGACTGCCATGAGCGGTTTGACCACGCAGAACTGCAGAGTGGCCTGCTTACAGAACCTCAGGAAGCCGATGGAGTAGGCCTTCCCCCTCAGACAGCAGGTACCGTACATACAGCTGGACCTGACGGGACAAAACACCCCGCTTACACTTAATGTCAGTTCTGATATCTGTGGGGAATTTAGTGTTGTAGCAGCATTGCTTGCAGGATAATATGCACATAAATTGCTTTGAATGAAAAAGCATGTGTTAAAACACCCTGGTTTCATGCTGGGTTGGAAACAAATATTGTTTAAAGGCCTTTTAGAGTCTATTAACAGGAGAAATAGGAGACTTACTCGATGGGTTTCCCTCTGATCTCAGCCATGATGGCGCTCTCTCCTCCCAGGTATTCATAGCACAGACTCAGGAAGTTGTAAATCACAAACGCTGTGGAGAAACAAGGGGAGAAAGAGTTGGTTATTATCTCTATACATTATGTACTTACTCTAATAATAATGGTAGGCCTGCACAGGACACCAAGATGTTTAAGAACGTACTATTTGGCTTGATTTTTTAATCTTGTGGTCATTTTATAACAAAAATTAGTGGGCAAATAAGTATTCATGAGAAAATATTTATAAAGCCAAATTAAATCAATCAGTTTTCCCCAGTTTTATTTGTTGTTTTCTATTTATTGGCCGTGACAAAAATAAACTTAAGATTAGAGGAAATACTGCTTGGGGTGCTATGATAACTGTACCTCTTTGAAAAGCCCTTAATAGGCCTCTTTCACAGCAGACAGTTGGACTGTGGAAACTGTTACAAATAACAATAATGATTACTCTCTCTATTCAATGTCCCATTGTGGCAGTGTGACAGTAAGCCAACATGCATGATCCGGACCCTGAAACTGAGGCACTTCATCACAAATTTTATTATTTACACTTGTGCTTTTCCTGCTAATCTTCAAAATTATCACATGCGTTATTATTGTAACAAATTCATACTTTATGTAGTCTATGCATTTATTTTAAACAAAATATTCAAGCTGCACATGGAACCTTTGCACAACAGCAACTACAGATGACAACGACTGTAGCAGGAACTGTGAGAAACTATTTAAACTGCAAAACCACAAACTGAAAAAGTATAACAGAGTCACCCACAGACCCCCAAGCAGTCACACAAACACATCACTTCCTGTCCCACTTATCAGTTTCAGAAACTCAGATTACACACCCTCATTTGATTCAGTGTTAAAACAGTTTACATTAATTTATGCAAAATGATGTCCAAAATGATCTTTTCTCACCTGCCAAAGGTTGGTCAAGTAAAACAAATTATGCATAAAATCAATTTTACCTGCCAAAATATTAAAATGAGGAGCTTTAATAATGTATCAACTGATGACGTGAAAACAATGTGACAAAAGAGCTTGTTTGTACTGATGAATCTACAGGGAATTATCTTTACAGAGTTTTATAGTGAGTTTCAGCTCACTGCTGTCCAACCAGCAACTGTACTGCTTCCCTCTCAACACTTTGATTTGGCACACAGGGTACATCAGGCTCAAGTAATGCAGACCTATGCATCAAAGCCCTGAAGGTTCTGCAGCATCTGTTCTTAGCTCCCATCCTGACACCTGCATTGTGATCATGGTCACTTAGGAAGCTGAGCCAGACGTCAGCTGGCAGCCCGACTCAGTCCAGACTGCAGGACCAGGGAGTATTGTCCCTTGTAAAAGAGTCAAACAAAATGACACCGCCAGGAACACAAAGAGGCCAACATCGAGACCTGAGACCAAACCTGAGAAGGATGGCTGCTTCAGGCAAATCTTCAAAAGGTTTACGGGAACATTGAACATTCTCTTCTAAATCATAATGCAGTTGGCAAAGAATAGCCTTCACAGGACTTCATGTGAACGTTGAAACTTTATTTATTTATAGTTCGTGTTTACAAACAGTACTGATGCAAATAAACCTTCAGCAGCACATTTTATTGTGCTACTTATATGTTTCCATAGACTGGACCAGCACGTGTTGGAAACTAAGATAAGATATATACTTTATTAATCCCCTATTGGGGAAATTCTTTTTTTCACTCTTACACACACAGGCTGAAATACACACTTCATGCACTTGTGGACAGGCAAACAGGGAGAGAGAGGGTGGAGTGATGGGCTCGCCACGTAAGCGGTGCCCACAAGCAGTTTTTCTTGGGGTTAGGTTGCCTTGCTGAAGGGCACCTCGGCAGTGCACAGGAGGTGAAACTGGCACCTCTCCAGCTACCAGTCCACACTCCATATTGTGGTCTGTGAGATTTGAACCGGGGACCCTCCGGTTCCTCCCCACTAAAAGTCTTATTTCGTTATTTTATCATGAAATACAACAAAACAGTAATCCTTTCTCAGCGTAGTGAAAAGTGAAAGCTTCAAAGAGTCATTACAGTATTTTGAGAAAATGTGTGAGAAATAAGCCAAACCTCTGACAGTGCAGACTTGACTCTGATAACCATGCATGTGTTTACTTGTTGATTCAGTTATATGTACGGGCATGAAAGAGCCACTGGCAAGGAGCAATGCAAAAAACATAGCACATAGCAATTTAGCTAAATGGCACACATTATCTGATACAATTTTGAACAAAAATTAATGAATTCTAAATATTAAGTTATAATTGTGTTACTTAAAACAATAAAAGCTAAACTTAAATAAATGTGATAATGGGTTCAGATTCAATAAACTGCTGTTGAATATGTTACAAAGAACACAAAGCACAGAGGACTGGAGTGGCTTGACTCTCATGACATAATGTACACCAACACACACACCTACCTCTCCCTGTGTGACTGATATTCACCTGACTGTCTCTTGGGACTAGTGGATTATCTCTCCTCTGTGCAGCCTCAGTGAGAGGGTGATGACGACCAAGAAGCTCATAAAAAAAACACAGCCAGGCTAATCCTGTTAGCACACAGACTCTCTGGGGGGACCGAGGGGACGTGTTTGTGTGACTGTGCATGTGAGGCAGAATAAGGTGAGCGTAACGGGTCTATGTCAGTTAGCTGTGAAAGTGTGAAAGCGGGACATATCTTGGGTGTGTGCCACGGTGTGTGTGTTGTTGTGTCACAACACTGATATCAAAGCAGCTGCACTCCTGGCAGTGATTCTTATTCCATCAGCTGAGTTGATATAATCTCCTTTTCTCATTCTGACTTTAACCCTACTCCACCCACACACACTAAAACTTCGTCACTGCTTCCTGTGGTATCCTGTCTGATGTCAGACACCCGTCAGACAGTACTTAGGTAATAAGATTCCATACATGCCCGTTCACTGTATGACGTTAACACAAACACTAGTGTACAGAGTGACGAGAACTGGTTGATCTGCTCTGAGTAGCTCTGTCGGTGTCTCAGCTGTTAACCATTATTCTCTTTCACTTCTCTCCAAGGACCCGTCAGCAGTGCTAGTTGCCACGGTGATACAGTAGGCCTACATACAATGAGAATGGGAACTTTGCAGCAAGTTTGGTTGAGAGAGACTCATTATCTGGCGCAGCCATTCTGGTTGATGGAGACGATTTGTGAGCGCAGTTGCCATGCAACAGGTCTGTCATCCTCGCTCAGGAGAAGATCTGGACAGGGCTCAGCAGCATTGTGGGACAAGGAAGGCAAAACAGGAGGAAGAGGAGAAGGAGCTGACGATCACAAGAGGAGGAGATGGAGGAAACGAACTGGAAGAGATCTGGTCCAAATGTGGAAAAAACAGTGGCGGGAGGGAACATCACATCAAGAGATGAGTAGGAGAAAAAGGCGGAGGAGGAGGATGAGAGCCATCTGTCTCAGGGAGCAACATGACGACAACAATACTGACAGTGCTTCCTGCCAAAAGCAGAACCATACATAGAGTGCCTCCGATTCACATTCACATGCATGTGATATCATCAGTTCATCCAACACAGGAAGTGACGCCCAAGCTCACAGTGAACGGACTATTTCTATCCTGAACGTCACCGCTGACCCTGGAGAATGAGGAGTGGAGGCAGTCAGCTGCCTTTCACCACTTTCTGCCAAATTCACAAATTTAAGAATAGTCAGGGATCCAAATTATCAAGCAGCATTTGTTTTGTTTGCGTCATCCATCCACTCTCCTTCAACTTTTCTGACCTGACAAATAAAGAAAGTCCATATTCAATAGCAGGTGGCCACTGACCAGGTTTCCATCCCTTCCACTAGATTCCAGTTAGACAAACTCAAATCAAGAGATGTGTAGTTTACAAAAAGGGCTCCGTGGATAAAAACGATGACAATGAATAGTAGCGCTTGTCCAAATACTCTTTTGAATCAGTGCACGTATTAAGAAAGGAATTACAAAATAGACTCCAAAGTTATATCCGGACTCATTTCAAGCATCTCAGTCCAAGTGGAGAGTACCCTAGTTTCAATAAAAGTTACAACTAATAGATATTATGTGTGAATTTAGGCCTCCAAATAATTACTTTAAAAGTATATGTTTAAAAAAGTTTATTTTTTCTTATCTGCCACAAGACTATTCAAAATTCAGTAAACAGATAAACACGTGTTTCTTATTGGAGTGAGAAGGAGGAATCTAATATGGGTGAGAGGGCACCTTGCAAAATAAACATTCACCATGTGGGCGGAATAATCTGTTCGTCACAATCTGATCACAATGTTTTTCAACAACTCAACTGGAAAATGTTGTCCACAATGAGGTGTAAGAGGATTTAATCAGTCACTTCTATCCATCAGTGGTATCAAAACAAATGCTATTAAATGTGTCTTCAGGACCATTTTATGTATCGTGAGAGCACAGTCCAAAGTTTTAGCCTGGATGGATGATGGGTGGAGCACAATTTAGTCAACATGGTAATCTTAGTGCCATTTGTTACCATAGCCAATGTGAAGTGGCTTTGCCATTTTGTGGAGCAACCACAAGGACTTGAGCTCTAGACAAGAGCTTTTCTTGTGTACCGTACTGTCAAAGCAGTTAACTGATTTTTTTGCCCGTGCCCTTGTTGGCTGCTGAATCGGTGGCAGTTACACAACAAACTGAACTCCATAGAATAAAGACAAAAACATGTCCTTACCCTCATAGCAGTCCCTCACGGTGTCAAAGTACACATAGTACTGGTCGTTGGTGAAGAAGAGGAGGCTGAGCCAAGAGTCGAAGGCATAGATAGGAACGATGAAGAGGATGCGTACAATGTGGCGCTGCTCCCTAGGTGAGCTATAGAAACGTAGGTGCATGTAGATCTGGGAAAGACAGAAGAGACACTTTAAATATTGACAGATTGAATATTGAATATTAGACTCGTTAAAGAGTGTTTAAAACCCCAGCACTACGTCAGGATAAAATAATGGGTATGGTGTAGTAACATATTCCACAGCTTTAGGGCATGAGTAAAATAAAGCTGCTTCCCTCTTCTTACTCTGGCTGTGGACTAGTAAATCTGTATCAAAGGGCATGTACACGAAGATAAGACACAAGAGAATGTACAAGTTAGGCTGGAACAGAGCTTTTACAAGCTTTAGTAAGCACTTGGACAGTAAAAAATAAATGTGTTTGTTATTATGTGGATAGAGATTCTTGGGAATATTCAGATTTGTATTCTGTGTATAGTTAATGTCTCTTTGCTGTCCGTCAGTGTCACTGACCGTAACAATCAATACACTACATGACATCATCTCAAAGGAATCTGTGAAAAGGGAAAACTAACTCCATTCAGCTTTTTGTTTGCTTTTTTTTCCCAGCCAGATCTCATACATCCTTTTTATCCATCTGGATCAAGTTTCACCTTTGTGTGTGTCTGTTTGTGCACACTGTGCTCTGTATCACAAACACCTGCCGAGGGGTGTTGCCAAGCAACCCCTGCCTTCTCTGGGCCTGAGCAGATGTGTGTGTTTGCAAGATCACGTCACCTGTGCATTAAACAGCACACACACACACACACACACCTGCCTGCAAAATCCAGATTACATCTTTGTGAGCACCAACTTCAGAAAACAAAGTCTGCTCAGTTAAATATCAACATTTGTATCTCTAGCTGGGTAAATAAAACAACAAGTGGGGCATTAGGACAGCCTCTCTGTTTGGAAGCATTTACCTGGTGACAGGTGAGGATGAGTGCAGTCCAGACAAAGAAGCCAGACACAGCCTGCGCCGCAGGAGTCATGAGGAAGATAGGCTGGTCTGGGCTCAGAAGCGGGGCTTCAGGAAGCCATGAAATGTTGGGACCTGTTGGGGCCACTGTCGGTGGGGGGGCGGGCGCTGCGGCTAGAGGAGAGTCCTCCCCCAGCCTCTCTGAGAGCGGTACGTCTCGCCTCCAGAGCCTCAACATCTGGAAGTGACACAGAACACAGAGTCAGAATAAGGGGACATATAAGTTGCAGTCAGTGTGTGTGTGTGTGTGTGTGTGTGTGTGTGTGTGTGTGTGTGTGTGTACATATAGAAACCACTGAAACTCAAACATTGACTATGCTGTGAAACAATTCACTAAGTATGAACATCCATTTGCACTAGTAATCATCAACCTGGAATATTGATCCGATACTATATGTCATGGAACTAATGTGTAATCCGAGATAGGAAGGCAGATAGAGGATAAACACAGACCAACTGCAGGTCAACATTTCACAATGAGTCAAGGATGTGTGTGTGTCAATTGTACAATGGTATCTGTGCTGGACTTGAAAACAAAACCTTTTTTCCTACATCTCCCAGAATGCCATTTGATGGCTGGCAGATAGCATGCCCAAACATCTACAAGTCAGCTGTGGTTTAAGGTGGGGCACATGAGTTCAATGGCATACTGTGTTTTAAAGTTTACAGAAAGCAGCATGCCATTTAGCTGCAAAGCATTCTGGTATTTTGAAGCTTCATTGAGTCCTCCTTGTATAATAATTGAAGATTGGGGCAAGATGGTGAGATCTAGAAGAACATGCTATTTGATTCACAGGACTGACAACAGAACATGGCATTTAAAGCATTTTTTTTCATGAAATCAAAAATCAACAGCCGACAGCGTGACCAAATTTAGGAGGAGATAAACAAGACGTCATATACGCTGCCGTATCCACTTCCAGTTTCTTAAGATGACTGGACTTAAAGTGGCCAGAAGACACGTTATATAAGCAGCAGCTTATCACTATCTCCAAGGTGACACAGACATGTTTTCAGGGTGGACTTGTTCTTGTGCGCTGACAGACAGTTGGCATATGAGACTGAGCTTGGGGGAGACAGAGACCTTGGTGTTATGAAGGTGGAGTGGGGGCTGATGCAAAACAAATAAAAAAATATGTACACCCACAAATAGAGAAAATAAACAATAAAAGAGTGGACATAAGCACTAAAATGGTCACTGGATGACAAATAGAGAGATTGAGGGAGGGTATCCTTCATTTTGATCCATCATGTCTCGTCCTCATGGCAACCAAAAGTCACACCGCACAGACAATGACAGGCTGACCTAATGCTCCACCCCCACACACACACTCACACACCCACCACACACACTTTAGCTTCATTACAACACTAATTACATTAAACTTAAGTGAATTTAGTGGTTCGATAAAATGAATTAGGCTGCTTTCACGCTTTTATATGGATATGCAGGAGAGTTATGGTTTCGCTGTGTGTGTATGTAGGTGTATGTAACCTGTGTGTGTGTGTGTGTGTGTGAGTGAGAGAGAGAGAGAGAGAGAGAGAGAGAGAGAGAGAGAGAGAGAGAGAGACACCGCAGGTCATTTGTATTGGTTTGCCAGGGATCAGCAGATCCACATGTCAACAAGAAGTGAAGGCATCAGCAGCCACACACACACACACACACACACACACAGACACAGACACAATAAAAGTGACAGTGAAATGCTGCGCTGGAGCAAAGGGACATCTGTGTGTTTCATTTGAAAGGCAAAAAAGGTCAGTCTCTCTCTCTCTCTCTCTCTCTCTCTCTCTCTCTCTCTCTCTCTCACACACACACACACACACACACACAGTGGATGGGGAAAAGAGCAACAGATGGAAAGGGGTGATGGGGGGGCAGACAGAGTGTGTTTATAATTCATAATAAGTAATAATATGGATGACAGCCAGGCTGGATTATCATACTGGCTGAAACAACAATAACAGCAACACTGGGCTTTATTCAGTAGAAAGCTACTAAGATGTTTTGCCACTTTTGTCTTTGCTTAAACGTTTTACTTCCACAACAGTGGTTTTTATCGTACTGCTGCAGTTTAATCTCACACAGGGAATTTGAATAATATGGAAATGACACTCAAATTAGCAAACAAATAAACCACAAATGATGAAGCTTGAAAAGACTTACCTTAGCTAACGGTGGGGACAATTCACAGATTTACTTGAATTTGAAGCCTGGAATTGACAAAGAGACACTTTAATAGTCGGGTAAAGAGCTGTGAAGTGTTTATAACTTGTTTTGGAGGTTAGGCTCACCTGGTAAATAGGCTGCAAGCTTTCAAATCCTCCTCAACTCCGTCAAACAAACTCACGACCAGAAATAACGTTAAACCAGAAACGGCCTTAATTCCTCCTCAGAGCCGCACCGTTGCTCCCCGGACATCCATGTTGAGCCCTCAGCAGACTGCCCCGTCAACCTCTCTGCGTGTCCCAAAAAAAACTCCCTAAAGTTTCTCGCTCATGTTAAACAACTTCTATACACTCCCTCTAGTACTCCTCGCTGCGTATTAAAATCGTCTGAAGTCCGTGTTTTTGGAGTTAAACCTGTGAACTCCGTCATTCCTCTCCGCTCCTCTTTCTCCTCTCGGCTGATTTCAAACCGATCCCCGTCGGATTAACTGCAGATCACACCAGCCCCGCCCACTCCGCGAGGACGAGCCCGTTCGGCCAATCACACACAGGATACCATTAATAACCCGGAAAGGGGCGGGGTTTGTTGATAGCACACTGAGCATGCGCGCGTCTATTCTCGGCCCAGCAGCGGTGGATGTGTGGGGGCCGTAGGAGAGAGAGTGAACGCTGCTCCCACACACTCGGAGATCAATTACTTGTTTTCCTGTCCTAACTGTGTAGTCATAGTGTGTGGGCATTGGACAACAAGTAGTCACCATAGTTTTTGTTATGTTAAATTGTCCCTTTTAAAATTATGAGAGCTACTTCAATTTAGAAACTTCTTCAAACTTTGTTTTCCATTTTTTTCCCAAGGACACTGAAGGCCTCTCCAGAGACGTTTTCCATCAAGGCGCTGCTATTGGGGCATTTAATGACATTACAGAGCATTCACTCCAGCAATTTAGTATCCATAAAACTGGGGCACTTACAAACACTGAATATAGTCAGAATTGTAACTTGTAATTAAGACACTGCATTTCATTAAGTTTAACTTGGAACTCTTGTACAGCACTACTTCTGTTTTATTTTTTTATTCCTTCAAAAACCCTATTTGTGTGTCTTTTTATGTTGTTTTTGTATATGTTGTGTTTCTTTTATATGTTTTCTTAACGCCATTTTATAAAAAGGTGTTATACAGACCTTTTGACACGTTGGCTTGTCATTGCAGGAAAAGCACAGGTGTAACTTATAACCTTAATTAAGGATGGCTAGGTCCCATTAAAGTGACATAGTGAGTTATTCCATTACCAGGAAGCCAAAGAGAACAAGGGCCCTGGAACTTGGAAACTTAAATGGAATGAAGCCATAATTTATTACTGTTATTAATTACTGTACACCTGTGGCTTTCCTGCTATGACATGTTAAATATCTGTTATGAAAAGGACTTTTAATCTGCTGCATGATGCAGATGCAATGATTCCTTTCTTAAGAAAAGAAAAGAAACACAATGTAACGATATAAAACACCATAAAATAACCCTAGCAGAATTATAACACCATGAAGTAAATGAAAATTAAGATGTCTAAAATGTAATCATAATGTCCCTGGCTAGAATAGTCTAATAAACTAAAATGCCCAAAACATTTTTGAAAGAAAATCAAGTTAATAAGTCTACATATATAAACAAAGTACTATTTATATTAGGGATGTCCCATGATGTTATTCTAGCTCCTCATCCTAATAAATCCAATGTATACTTGACAATTAAATAGTTCTGCATTGCATCAAGAAAAAGAAAAAAAAGCCAGCATCCAAGCTGTTCGTTGATGTTTTGTTTTCCTGCAGTATCATGTTGAGTGTGGCAGCAGTGAAACTTTGCAGCAGGTGGGGCTGCTCCTGCTCTCTCACACTCACACAGAGCTCAGGGTGGAGAGTTGGACAGAGACTCAACGATGGCTGCACTGTGCATGAAAGCTTTGTGAGTAAAAGCAGCCGGCCTAAAACAATGGATCGGATCGGGTCATTAGAGCTCAATATAGTGGATCAGGACATCCCTAATTTACATATATAAACAGGATGTTTAAAATGGAATTTCAAAGGGGTTAAGGGTTAGATGTATGTAAGGTGGAGATATTAGAAAAATAAAGTATAATTAGTATCAAATAATATATAACAATGGTTATAATCAACTGAAACATACAATCAGAAGTCTGTGTAAGCTGTGTATATTTTTATTGATTCAGAAAATATACACAAATATCATAGTAATAAAGTTGAAGCATGGTAAAGAAATGTACAGGACATCAGACAGCTCACTCTCATCGGTGACACCTGTCCATCCTGACAGGCCCCGGGTCAAAACCTTGAAATATTAACAAGAACCTTTCTGTCATTGCCTGCCCTTGTTTTTGGGAAACCAAAACACACACACTTGTGGCAGACTCTAAAGGTTATTGGTAAAAATTTCTGCTTCACTTCCCCCTCCCCAAGGCCGTCAGGAAGTAAACAGTACTCTTTCTCTCCCAGCCCCGTCTTAAAACAATCTGTCACATTCTGGTCAAAGTTATCTACACATTTTACATGTATCATAAAACAAGGAGAGAAAAAAAAAAGCAAAGAGCAAAAATACAAATGTAACACCAGACTTGTTCACCACCAAGCTCCTATAACTTTCTCAAGTATTTTCATACCTGGAGTTACAAGCTGGACTAAGGCTTTAACATATCATACAATCCCTTTTATTCTGTCCTAAACACAAAGCAGCCTTCCTCATCCTCCTCATCCTCCTCCTCCCTCTCTGTTCACATTCACTGAGCGTGTTTTCCATGTCAGTCTCTCATAAGACAGTCACAAGTGTGCTGAAGAAGACAAAGTTTTAAATCAGGGACTAGTTTTCCATTATAATTTATGGTTAATTCATCATCAGTCACGTCTCCCTCCTCCATCCCACTCATCCTCAGACTCTCTAAAGCAAAGCTAAAGGCAAAACGAACATTTAAGACAATAACACACAGACAGACACTGACATTTATTGACAAGAAGCAGCCTCGCTCCCATCCACAGACTCTCTCACATTCACCTCTGATCCTCTTCCTCGGTCCATTCTCAAGCATTCCCCTGTCTCATCTGTTATAGGCCTGAATACACTTCTGTTCTGTGTTTGTCTCTGAAGTTGTTTACATATTTATTTATAATCAAGAACACCATAAGCAGCGGATGTAGCTCTCGAACGTTAGCAGGTTGATAGTTGATTTTTTTTTTTTTTTTTTTATGTAATCACACGTGTAAATCACAGAATAACTGAAATTTAGTCCATTTTGTGCACTTGGATGTTTTTTTTTGCAAGTTGAGCTTCTCAGTGGATGGGCAGGTGAATATGAGTAAAGAAGGGGTGGGACCTGTGTGTTGTTTCACCCCCTTCCCCCTCCGACCGCAACCCCCGAAAAAAGCAGTACCAACCAGTCCCAGCCAAGAGTTAGTTTGTCCCACTGGTTTCTATCCTCTCAGTGTTTCCCTCGGCTCTTGCAGCATACTGACAGACACACGGATGGCCTCGATCCCCCTTTTAAGGGCTGGCAATGCCTCCTCCTGCTCCTCTTGTCCTCCTCCACTCATTCATGTTTTCATTCATCCATTTGAAAAGTAAGGGGTATTTGATACCCTGCAGCTGCTGGACGGCAAGAAACAAAGCAAGGAAGGAACATTTCACTTTTTGTGTTCATTAAAATGCCCAACTGGAAATATTTTCATTAAAACCAACCATACATTAATCTATCTCTCAATACTTTATAACTCCCCCTACCCAGTCTGTGGCTCTCAGCCCAAAGCCCATTGGTTCCTACTGAAGACATTAATCTTTAAACAGGTCCCAAATATACTTTCATCTCTAAAAGGGCTAAAAGTTGTGAGTTAGAGCAAACACTGCTCAAAAAGGAGTAAATAGTGCATCTGTTGGGGACTATTTATGTCAATATTATTTTCATCAATATTTACAGCAGCAGGACGGTGTGTGTGTGTGTGTGTGTGTGTGGGGGGGGGGGTTGACTCAAAATAAACTACTGTGTTCATGGTAATGAAGTCTCCCAGTGCAAGATGTCACTGATGTTTTAATAGTTTTTGGACAACAATGGAGCTCTACGGCACAAAGGAATAAGATATATCAGGCTTTAGATATACAGACAATACTTGTTAGAGGGATCATTGTTAATTTATCACCATAGTATCACTAAACTTATCCTTTAACTGCAGGGAGTTATAAAATGGAAATTCTTTACTGACATAATCATCGACCCTTAAATACCTTTGTTCAGTCGATTTGGTCAATAATGTTTAAACTTTTTATTTTTTCAGAATGGCTTAATCAAAATATTGCCAACTAGTTTTAAATGTTTTATGGTAACAAACTCATTTATTACACAATAAAAAATTGTAGCTGGATTGCTTTAGATTTCAAGAGAAATAAGAAAAGCTAAATTCACTTTATTGGAAAAAATGCCAACTTGTAAAAAAAAAAAATTATCAACAATTAGAGCAAATTTTAAATGTTGTTCCTCCTTTCCACTTTTTACTTGATTTAATTTAATTTTAAACACCTCAACTCTGGTTATATGAGCAGAACTTCACTCCTTTGATTTGAATTACTGCAGAATTACAATTTTAGCTGAATATCAGCAATTTCTTTATCTACTAGAATATAAAGGATGGGGGGTTCAGGGGTCATCAAGGACAAATGACATGGATAGGTGTGTGTGTCATGTCCATACCTGCCACTGACCTGCAGGCCAGCCAGGAGGAACTCACTTTGCCAGATGTTCAAACGGCACACTGACCTGAGAGTGGAGGGAAAGATGAGAAGCTTGAAGCAGATCAAAGGGAGAAGACACTGAGAGAACGAAGAACGAACTGTATTTTAAAAAATTCTTTTCAATTCCAAGACCAGACGCTGTATGCTTTCTCAGTTGTTAATTTACTTTCAGTTCTTTGGACTATTTGGTTAACTACAACAAAACTAAAACAAACTAATACTTGTTAATTTTCTAATGACTTGAGAAAAGAAAACAACTGAAACAATATTGTATACTTACAAAACTAACTAAACTCAAATTAAAAATATACAGGAAATGCCTTTCGTTTAGTCTTTATCAATTAGGTCAAACTAAAAATAAACACTTAATAAAAACTAATAAAAACTAAACTGAAACGAGCAAACTCACTCTGGAAACTAACTGAATTGAAAACAAAACTTAAAAAAACGAAAAATAAATAAAAGTGAATGAAAAATACAAAACTGTAATAACTCTAAAACTGAGATCTGTCAGCAGTTTCACAGGGGTCGCTGCTAGCATATAAAACAATTCAGATGACAGGTCGACCCACAAAGTAACAGAAGCACACTCCTCCTAGACCAGGAGTAGTTTAGTCATGTTAAGTGTTTCATGTTTAGTCCTTCCTGTTTCATTCTGTACTCACCTTTTCCCTCACTATTCAAAACCCTACTTCCTCCCTT